AGAAAGGCAACAGTAACTCAAATAACCACTCGTTACAACCAAGGTATGCAGAATACCATCTGTGAACGCACAACATGTCGAACCCTGAAGCAGATGGGCTACAGCAGCAGAAGACCGCACCGGGTGCCGCTCCTGTCAGCTACGAACAGGAAACGGAGGCTACAATTCGCACAGGCTCACCAAAATTGGACAATAGAAGATTGGAAAAACGTTGCCTGGTCTGATGAGTCTCGATTTCTGCTGCGACATTCAGATGGTAGGGTCAGAATTTGGCGTAAAGAACATGAAAGCATGGATCCATCCTGCCTTGTCGCAACGGTTCAGGCTGGTGGTGGTGGTGTAATGGTGTGGGGGATATTTTCTTGGCACACTTTGGGCCCCTTAGTACCAATTGAGCATCGTTTAAACGCCACAGCCTACCTGAGTATTGTTGCTGACCATGTCCATCCCTTTATGACTACAGTGTACCCATCTTCTGATGGCTACTTCCAGCAGGATAATGCACCATGTCACAAAGCTCAAATCATCTCAGACTGGTTTCTTGAACGTGACAATGAGTTCACTTTACTCAAATGGCCTCCACAGTCACCAGATCTCAATCCAATAGAGCACCTTTGGGATGTGGTGGAACGGGAGATTCGCATCATGGATGTGCAGCCGACAAATCTGCAGCAACTGCGTGATGCTATCATGTCAATATGGACCAAAATCTCTGAGGAATGTTTCCAACACCTTGTTGAATCTATGCCACGAAGAATTAAGGCAGTTCTGAAGGCAAAAGGGGGTCCAACCCGGTACTCGCAAGGTGTACCTAATAAAGTGGCCAGTGAGTGTATATATATATGTAAGAGTCACATGGAGTCACATTCAGGAGAAACAGAGAAATGTGGAGAAATCCACCATGAGCCAGTAAAGCATTTTTCTATGTATTTTTATTTCTTATGTATTCATTCTCCAGATTAAGACATTCATAAGATATAATTAAACATATGCACCACTGCAAGTGTTTGTGATCTGGTTGAGAATGTAATCAGATTCAAAAGTTCTACATTGCTAATTATTAAATGTATATTTGACATGCTAATATTCAGTGTTTATAATACAGATTTCAGTTGAACTATTAACGCACTGTTAGTTTGTATGTAAACCTATGTATCTATGTAGTTACTAATTGATCCTGTTTCCTGTTACTTTATAGACCAAGAAGGCAAGGAAAACTGCTAGAATGCTTCCCAAAAGTAATCCAGCACAAGCTCCCGAAACTCCATATTCAGCTCCAGCGACTGCGCCGAGAAGCGCTCCGAATACAGCCAGCGCTATCACTGTGATGGGTTTGAAGTAATGCATCAAAAGTGCTTGTGGGTCATTCACAAAGTCAGGCTTCACTTTTGTCACTGTTAAAGAAAACAACGTTAGATTTGTGCATAAGTGACATGCACTAGGTATTGATCTTACTGCGTCTCTCAAGAATGTAGGTTCGGTCTTTGCACTTCTCCAGGATTTTCTTTGCTTTCTGAAAGTAAGCTCTGATGGCAAACTCTCCCATTCCATCATCACAAGCAAACAGGACGATGGTGTGTTTCCAGACGTGCTCCGACAGTAACTCCATGTGCATCTCTGCTGCTTTAATATCACCTGTAGAAGACTCTTCATCTCTCTTCACAGGAATGACCAGAAGCAGAGCGTGAGGTCCTGGAGGACTCCGAGACACGCTTCTTCTGATTGATTTCTTGATGCTTTCTGGTGTTTGCTGCATTGAGGTCCATCCTGGTGCTTCCACAACACTGATCCTTCTTCCAGCCTGTTCACCTTCATATACACACTGACCCACGTTTTCTTCCACAAGATCCCTGCAGCCCAGGATGGATTTGATCACTTTGCTCTTGTCAACCTCATAATTTCCCAAGAGCACAATTCATATCTCTGACCGATGAAGTGAGCCTCGGTTGAATACAATTAATGTTTATTTCATCAAAATATTTCTAAAAGGTCACCTACCTATTTTTGATGAGACTCCAGCAGCCATAGTTGTCTTACATCCAAGGCTGTCCCTAGCCTCCGCTGTGGGGTCCCTCTATAGGGCGGAGCCTTATTTGCACAGCCCTAACGGCGGCCCTTGAGCAGCAGATGAAGCTGATCAGAAATGCTCCTTAGGTTCCGAGTGGAGAAGTACATAAAACAGGCAGTTGATTTTTCTGTACTGCAGGGTTTTGCTTTAATAAGCACAAAAATTTGATCCTACTGTTCTGAAATACCTGTTTTGCTGATATTTTGTTTCAAAACAAATTTTAGCACATCTTTCTTTCATGTTGCTGAACAGGTCATTGTGCATTCATCTCTGCGCACATAACCCAAAACTCCGTAATGTCTAGAACTATAACTGAAGTTCTAAACAAGGACAAGCTAAATTTGTTTACCATTATTTATTAAGAATAATATTCATGGTATGATATACTAAGTGCACAAAAATCTCATGATGAAAATATTGCATGGCACTCCCTGGTAGGTAATATAATGGTTAAAATATACTTAAAATATTACCTTTGGTAAAGCATCAGACTGCTTCAATTAATGTAGCTATCTCCTTAGATTTTCACAAGAATTTTAGAAACGCCACACGTTTATTATAATGAATGAAGCTCTGCCTAACCAACGAAGTGTTAAAACTATTAGTCAATTATGTTTTACTATTATGCATTTATAGTAGACTCTTCTTATTATTATTATTTATCAATTTCAATATTTACTCTCCGTATCCATCCATATGCAAAGCATGCTGGGAACTAACAATCACTGCCAAAAAAAAAACAGTATAACTGACCTAATTCTCTTAAAATAAATAGGTAGGTTCATTTCTTTCATTATTATTTTTTTCCCCAGTTTAATCAGTTCCTCAATTCAAGCCTCAAAATTGCATAAGTTTCCTTAAAAAAATGAGGAAAACATATCTCTTGGTTTTATTAGTGAAATGTTCTGAATATTTTCTATTCAACACTGAACCACAATCTCTTTGATAAAATATACACACTATTTTTAATTATCACCTTCATTTTTAAAATGAAAATTACAAGACACATAATTCCATATTGGATCACTGTTACACAACAATAAAGGATGCATATCACTCTGTCCCACGAGCAGCTTTGAAACTGCTGCCACCGATCTGGACGAGCTCACAGGATCCGTAACATCTTATATCAGTTTCTGTGAAGACATGTGCATTCCTACCAGGACTCATTTACAGTGTTGGGGAAAGTTACTTTTAAAAGTAATGCATTACAATATTGCGTTATTCCATAAAAAAGTAACTAATTACGTTACTTAGTTACTTTTTATGGAAAGTAATGCATTACGTTACTTTTGCGTTACTTTTTAAATCTGGACAGGGCTTGCTTGTTTGTTTTTAAAATAAAAAAGTTCTATTTTTGGCAAATATAAAAGCCTTTTCACACCAAAAGTGAAATGAATAAGCCTCAGGCTGAAGGGAACGTAAATTTAAATTAATGCATATTCATATTTATTTTAGAACTAGAGTAACATCATCTGATTTCTCTCGACATGGGGACAGCAGAGCTGTCAATCAATAAATTGAAAAAAAAAAAAGTAACTTGCGTTACTTATTTGAAAAAGTAACTCAGATATTCTCTTGTAAATTAAAAAGCAATGCGTTACTTTACTAGTTACTTGAAAAAAGTAATCTGATTGCGTTACTTGTAATGCGTTACCCCCAACACTGCTCATTTAACCTACAACAATGACAAACCATGGTTCACTGCAAAACTCAGACAGCTCCGTTAAGCCAAAGAAAATGCTCGCAGGAATGGGGACAGAGTCTTGTAAAAACAGGCCAAATACACACTGGAAAAGGAGATCAGAGTGGCAAAGAGGAATTATTCTGGAAAGCTAAGGAACCGATTCTCTTCCAGTGACCCTTCATCAGTGTGGAAAGGTTTGAAAGACATCACCAACTACAAGACACCATCCCTTAGCACTGTGGAGAATCAACAACTAGCACACGATCTGAATGAGTATTATTGCAGGTTTGAAAAAACACCATTCACACCTCCTGCAACCCCCCTCTCCCCCACACCTGCACTTCAGATCAGGTCAGCTCTTCAGAAAGAGCAAGAGAAGAAAGGCACCAGGCCCAGATGGTGTGACACCAGCCTGTCTGAAAACCTGTGCTGACCAGCTGGCGCCCATCTTTTCACAGATCTTCAACAGATCACTGGAGCTGTGCGAAGTCCCTTCCTGCTTCAAATGCTCCACCATCATCCCTGTCCCATAGAAACCAAAAATTAGTCCTCTGCACTTCAATAACTGTCTGGTTCAGCTCAGCTACCAAATCTGAACTCAGAAGACTACGTCGGATAGTCCGGACTGCTGAGCGAATCGCTGGTACAACCCTCCCTACTCTCCAAGAACTGTTCTCATCCAGAGTGAGCAAAAGGGCTACAGATGATCTCATAAGTAAGTGTCTCTGTCAGATCACGTTCAAAGGAGAGTAAACATCGAGGACCGTAGAAATGCGCGTGGCTGCAAATATGCAGTTTGTTGTGAAGTATCCAGTACAACGTTTATGTTATGTTTATGTTTCTTTCCTCAAAGGACGGATCTATTTAGCGAATCGAACACAAATGATGACACGCTTGGTTCAGAAGTTTCCAATCTATATCCATCACCAGCAGGTGGTCTGGTTTCACCTGCTTTCAAATGGGATATCCAATATATTCTTTTTAAAGAATGGACTGACATTTGTTTAATCATTTTGGTTTCAATGCCACGAACGCGCGCATTTTACTATTATGTCTTAAAGTCGTAAACAACATTGTGGGCGGGACTAACCTGTTAGACTGCAGCTCTTTCTCCCAAAATATTTAATAGAAACAACAAATGAAGATATTGCCTATATGTGTTCTCAAACCATTGCGATTTTGCATTTTCAATCTGTATGCTTTAATAGGCCCAATAAACTTTTTATTTATATTCAGCACCTTAGAATACATTATTACAGTTACGCAAAACAATTGATTTTTTTCCTTCATATTTTCAATGTTTTATAGATATGCTGTACTTTAGTATTTCATATTACACAAACTAAAATTTGTCAGTAAACAGCAGATCCTCGTTAAGACAACACTGTCTAAAGAGGAATATATTTCAAGTTTCCATTCATTGTTATTATCATATAAAGGTTTAAATAAACAAAACACCATGTTTCCACTGGCAACAGAATTTGAATTCTCTTATTCCTCGTCAAAGGATCACAACTTTATTTACAGTTTCCAAAATTAATGTTTAGTGAGCAAATAAGATGCAGCTAAGATGTTAGGAAAAAAACATCATCATATCCAGTTAGTGTAAAATAAAGAACACATCTTATGATCCATGTACACACTTGCATTGACATACATAACAAATATGAAATAAAAATGAAAAGAAATAGTTCATAGACTCTTGTTTCTATGTAAGGGCCGGCAGGTGCGGTTCACTCTGAGCAGAAGTCACTCTTTAAACACTCAATCTGAGCTTCACTCAGTGTGTTTCAGTGTAAAGGAGCTTCTACTTTAAACAGCAGACGTCAAAGGCCTTTAGTTGGGTTACAGTGGGTCACAGAGGTCAGAGGTCAGTGTTTAGGCTCTCTTCCAGCGGCCGTCCTCAGCGCGGCGGTACAGTTGCGGCTGACCGCCTGGAAACAGCCCGTCTGCAGTCGGGTGATCCAGCAGAAACTGGATGGTGGATTTGATGTGATGGACGAAGTGAGGAGGTTCTGCATGTGGAGACGTGGACAAATACTGACGGACAAACCAGACGAGAAATCAATGCGAAGAGTCACTTCATCCTGCAGATCTGACTTAATGATGAAATACACACCTTACTGTATCATATCTGATAGGCCTCTAAATGATCAAAGTTAGCATGTTGTTCACAATCTACTCCATGCCTTCTGTCATCTGATTGATAGTTCATGCATTTCGTTTTTTTAGCAATGAAAAGGCCTTTTTATTGTACAAACATCCACCTTCAGCTTGTGATTCACGTCTCATCAGGCTTTTGAGGAGCGTTTATTTCTTCATCTCTCAATCAGCATTGGATTGCATTGCATTATATGTTTAGATCGTTTAAATCTCAAGACATTATTGGAGATGCATAGTGACGACTGATGTTTCTATCGTTTTATGTAAGCATCTGCTATGCATACTGTTATAAAGATCTCATTGATTTACATTACAAGCATCAGAATTTTATCTTTTTGGTCATAAACTTCAGCATCTGCACCAAATTGCCAATTTTTGCTCAGTTTGATTCTCTGTTGTTTTTTCTTGTATATTCTCTCTATATCAGACTATATGAGCTATAAAAGCCTGATGGATAATATACGAAACTCAACGAAAAAGCACAAAAGCAGTCTTAAGTCGCTGGGGTATATTTGTAGCAATAGCCAACAATACATTGTATGGGTCAAAATTATCCATTTTTATTTTATGCCAAAAATCATTAGCATATTAAGTAAAGATCATGTTCCATGAAGATATTTTGTAAATTTCCTACTGTAAATATATCAAAACTTAATTTTTGATTAGTAACATGCATTGCTAAGAACTTCATTTGATGAAGATGATTTTCTCAATATTTTGATTTTTTTGCACCCTCAGATTCCAGATTTTCAAATAGTTGTATCTCGGCCAAATATTGTCCTATCCTAACAAACCATACATCAATGGAAAGCTTATTTATTTAGCTTTCAGATGATGCATAAATCTCAATTTCGAAAAATTGACCCTTATGACTGGTTTTGTGGTCTAGGGTCACATATTTGGTCTAAAGGTTCAATAAACTAGCAGTGAGGGGATTTCTGACCTGTAGGATGGTTTCATCATCTTGGGACAGCCAGAAGGCCATGTCGTTGTTTGGTGTCCATCTGCACGGGTCGATTTTCACAAGCTCTCTGCTAGAGTCATACACTTCAACCATCTGTCAATAACACACACCAATATTTCAGATTATACAGCAGTTAGTTCGGTCCACCAATTCTGATTGGTCAGTCGCAGCATTCAGCAGTCAGATATTTTTAATGAGTGCTATATATTGCATGACGGCTTCATCTATGTACCTGTGCACCAGAGAAGGTGCGAGCGGATCGGAGCTCCTCCGCTGGTCCTCGACATGTGAACGAAGCTGGAAACACCTGACCCGTTTTAACGTTCACTCCTGAACTCGGACACAAACGCTCTGTCAGTGTCTCGTATAGGGCTGCATGATCAATCCAAATAAAACTGAAACTGCGATACGGTTTCACGTGATTATGAAATCACAAGGGCTGCAATTTAGTTAAATAAACATAAGCTGTGTGTGTTTCAGAGTGAAGCGCGGCATTGCATGCATTTAAACGTGAGCAGCTTGCGATCCAGTGTTCTCAGAGTCTCGGAGCAGCTCAGTTCACAAATAAAAAATCTCTGCATCTGCTCTGGAGTCGCTTATTATGTGCATTTGGGAATGAAACACATGCCAAACATCTTCACAAACTTGCAACAGGAAGTGCATGCAAATCAACAAAAGAGAGGCTTTAAAGGTTTAACATTTGAAATTTAAGAAATTAAGACAGCCATAAATATTTGTATTGTAGTTTTACAGTACTGTCAAATAAATTATTATTGTTCTTATTGTTATTTTACATTGAAATATTGCAATAGTACTATTTCTGATCGTTTAATATTTTTTAATTATTAATTATTACTTTATTTAATTTAATGGTTCTTATTTGATAGTCATATTGATACGTAATCACACAATTTTTGGCCAAATTGTGCAGCCCTACAAAAAAAAGCACAGCAAGCCTGAAGAAATTGCAATTTTTATCTAAAAACAGCAAATAAAGTCATGCTGTATTTCTGGTGCTGTGTGAAGCTGGTGAATACATCAAAAATGTGTCTTTTTTATTTTTAATTTAGCATTGTCCAGAGCTCTGTTTTTTTTTTAAACACTGAAAATTCATAACTCAGATAACAAACGCATCACATTTGTGCTGAAGTGTCTAACACACTTCTGAGAGAAGACGGAGATGTTGTACAGTACCTATCCCATACACCACGGGCCGATGAATCCCGTCTCTGATGACGTCATTCATGTCTAAAGAGACAGAAATAGTTATGCAATTATCAAAAATATCATGCACTATATTCCATGTTCTCTGAAGTAATACAACAGCTTTCTGTTGAAGAACAGACCGAAATAATCGAATAAAATGCAAACCTTGCCAAATGAGATTTTTAGCACCGCAACAAATGGGGCGATTTTCAATGAATGATGACTTAAATTTGGGTCTTTATTTTCTCACACGAAACACCATATGATCTGAGACTTGGAAAATAGTGAGTAAGTTGTAGAGACTACTTTTCTGTTGCTTTCATGGGCTTTTTTGACATATGTGATAACTATGAGCTGCTGTATGGATATTATCAAAATGACTGCTTTTGTGTTCCACAGAAAAAATAAAGTCATACAGGTTTGGAACAACATGAGGGTCAGTAAATGATGACAGAATCTTCATTATCTGTGACCCTGGAGCACAAAAGCAGTCTTAAAGGTCCCCTGAAATGCTTAGAAACATGCAGCGTTACTCTGTGTTGACGTCATTTTAACTGAAACAGGAAGACAGGGCGGGACATATCAAGCAGCCCCGCCCCTTTTTAAAATAGCCAATAGCGTTCGTTTATATCACAGCTTGGGCTAGAGCCGTTGAGCTCCGTAAAGCCGCATTTGACAGCCACAATCTCATCCATATTGCTATAAAATATAGCATTCTGTGTAGAATTCAAATAGCTCCGATATATTTTGTGGTCTGCGCCGACTCGCGCATGTGATCCGCTCCGTGCTATCGTGTCTCTGGACCGGAGCAGAGTGTGTGTGCGGTGCGGTGGTTAGCGTGACACAGCGCCAAATCTCGACCAAATATTGTCCAATCCTAACAAACCATACATCAATGGAAAGCTTATTTATTCAGCTTTCAGATGATGTATAAATCTCAATTTCGAAAAATCGACCCTTATGACTGGTTTTGTGGTCCAGGGTCACATTTATTTTTAAGGTAAATAAACTAATAGAAGTAAAAGAATGTCCCATGTCAGTGAAGAGCACGACTGACCTGTGATGCAGCACGTCTCCAGCTGAATCTCTTCCTTCTGCTTTTGAAAGGCAGCTGTAATGCAAAAGATTTAGAAACACTTCTGGTTTCTGATCACACAGTGAATGTTTCATCTTCATCGTGCATTTGTACTCAACCTACCCAGAATACTAAGGCTGAGTGAGTGCGAGGTGCTCCTGTCGTCATCAAAACCACCGACCAGATGCAGCTCCAGTCTGAAGACACAAACACAGCCATAAATCACACATAAAGTCCTTTCAGTCTGACATTCCTGTTCAGCGATGTGGGACGGATCTACAGCACCTGCCCTCTTTTGCTGGATTGCTTCTAGAAGTGACAGCATTGACTATCAGAGGAACTTCAGTCCATGTGCTGGAGCCATCACAGTGAGCCAGACACGTCGCTCCGCTGCCTGCAGAAGAGGCACACAGGATCAGACACAAACACACAGTAAACCAACACAGACACTGACTCTATGAAGGCTCATGTTACCTGTGTGTCGAAGCACGACTAAGTGGCATGTCGTGGCGTCATCGGATCCCAGGATAGAGACTGAATCTGAGGAGAGAGAAACATTAGAGTGTGTTCAACACATCACCGTTCATCAGATGGAGAGCTAACACTCACTGTCCGCTGGTGTGGTCGCCGCAAACTCCCGCTGCTGGACATACAGGAGCTGTTTAGTGTCCACAACTTCTGGACTTCTGGACACAAACTGCTGCGCACTTTCCTAAGAGACACACATCAACCAATCAACCACCTCTGATTACTATATGCACTGCACACTATGTGTGCATAACTGGCAAATAACACGGAAACTGATGGGGTTTTTAACTCTTTATAACATAGGAATGAAAGTGCTTTTTTTATATTCTTTTAAATATATTTTTATATTAAACAAAATTTTATATAATTTTAAATTTTGCGGTTTACTTCAATAATCCTGCAGTGCAAATTATACAATTACATTTATTATAAGAAGTACTTCTTAAGATCTAATTAATATGAGCTTGTAAAAATGCATGCATAGATATGAGAAATGTACAGCATGCCACACCGTGTAAATAATAATAAAAACTGATTATATGGCGTTTATCTAGTATTTAAATACAAAGAGAAAGATCGACATATATTACAGTCTGTGCATGCATACGGCCTATAATACTACTATTACAAAACTAATAAAATATTAATAAAATAAATGCATTTCTAAGATGTTGTTTATCTTATACATCACAAGTGTTTAAATTGTAAAGAAAGCAGGGTCTATTATAGTCATGCATGCTGCAGTATAATATTAAAGTGGCTCTGATATTATTATTTTTGTGTATTATTTTGTAACTTAACGTCACCTTCAGATGCGGGTGTTTGCTGAAGAGCTCCGCGGTTGAGTTGACGCGCTCTATTCGCTTATTCTGAGTCAACAGCGGCATCCTGACGGAGATTAAACCCGATCATCTGATCATTTCATTAAACTCTGATAATTAATAATAACGCTGACATGTGTGTTTCTCCCTCATCACACCGCCGCGTTCACTTCCGCTTTGCGCGCACGTCACCGCTCACGTGACTCTGAACTGTAGAAATTATTCGCTAGAAAGGACATTAACCGGAAGTCAGTTTAACATTAGAAAGAAATCGAGAGAAAGGACCGATGCAGTTACTGTAGATGCGATACACATATAGACCGACAGACGGCGCTCCGCTAAATGCAATTTTATCTGCTGTCACCTAGCTTGCTGTAAACAGTGACACGTTCATAAATGTGTGAATAGTTTTGGTATTTAGACACTGTTTCTGGACAATAAATAAACACTTTTTATAGGTACTGCAGAACTAAATGTATAATTGATAGTCGAAAAAAATTAATTGCTTCAAAGAAGAATTTTAATAATTAAAAATTATAATCCATGTAATCCATGTCCTGGAGCGAACACAATGAACGATGTTCTTAATATTTAAATAAGAATTTCACATAATTATATATATATACAGCTTGCTTACAAGTCTTTTTTTAAATCCTAATGTATCCTATATTTTAAGTTTCTATTTTCTTTTTGCAATCCATTATTAAACCAGCATGCCAAATGTTAATAGTAAGGTTTAGGCTATAACAAGTTTAAATGAACTGAACTGCAAAGTCACTGTGACCATGTGTGTGTCGATCACTCAGTTTATGAGGTTTCTCAGGAACATGTTGACAATGGATCATGATGACAGGAAAACTACTCACTGATTAATCACCTTCATTTCACAACTACAGTGTTTACAGTAGCATATAAAAGTCTGACACCACCAATCTAGAAGCTTCTGTTTTGCAATTTTTTTATTTACTGATTCATTTTTTATTCACCAACAGAAAATCTAACCATCTGTACAAAGAATCACATGAGTCAAAATGTGAGTGTGAGTGTGTGTGTGTGTGTGTGTGTGTGTGTGAGAGTGTGTGTGAGTGTGTGAGTGTGTGTGTGTGTGAGTGAGTGAGAGAGTGTGTGTGTGTGTGAGTGAGTGAGTGAGTGAGTGAGTGTGTGTGTGTGTGTGTGTTTAATAGATTCACCAAATTCTTACTTTTGCCCTACGACTAAGTCAATTTGTTCTCATTCTGAAGAGCTTACAATTCAAACAAATCCAGATCAGGATCATCAACCTTTTCTGTCCAAATGACCAAGAGAATGATGATATAAAATCTCAGAATCACATTGATTAATAACTCGCATGAATAACATTATCAGACATGTTTTACATCATTCTAAACTGGTTTCTCTATTAAACAGCTTCACTGTGTCCTGGATTCATCAGATCACGGTGGTTCAATAGAGAGGTTTATTCTTGTTGAATGATGGTTCTTCAAGACAAACGAGTCAAGCAAAGATGATATGAGGTTGCTTCTCTAATACAGTATAGAAACCAATATATTTTAAACTAATGATATAGAATATTTATGTATCTTTAAAGAAAACTGTTAAATGAGTCCACAGCCGGCTGGATTTAATGAAGTAGAGCAGCATTATATCAAATCAAACACTGATCAAACACCTGTAACTCTGTCCATCAGAAACACACACACACACACACACACATCACACACACACACTCTCACTCACACACTCACTCACTCACACACAGGCGTGTTTGATCCATCGGCCTGTGATTATTCTCTCTCTGAATGAAACGCATGAAAATGAAGTGTTTTATCATTTTCTCAGGTCTCCGGCGCGCTTTGTCTCAGATGAATGCACTGCACTTCACAGAAACAGGTGTGCTGTCCAGGAATTGAGGGTTTTATAAGCCACTGCGTGTTTGTGAATATTCATCCAGAATCATCAAAAGGACGAGCTGTCTGAACTGAATTCAGCTATAGTTTGATATGTGCACTGAATCAAAGAGTTTCCAGCCAATCAGCTGCTGCCATTCTATCCAGATGCATTATTGTCAGTGTTTCTGAACTACATTTATCTCATTCATAATCCAATCATCTAAATACATCTTAAAAGCTGCAGAGTGTAATTTACTGAGAAGGAAACCCGAATCTGAGGCTCTGACAAAAGCTGTAAGTAAATTGACTTTTTAAATCAAATTAGATCTAATTTTTTTGTGCTGACTTGCATGGATCCAATTAACTAAATGGTATTAGGTGAAATTTTCCGTTTTATTTCATTTCAGTAAAACGTCTCCAAGCTGCTTCTAAATGTTACTGATAAATGATAACCCTGGAAACAACAGTTAATGCAATAACCAACATGAAATACTATGCAAAAAGTTGACCATATTCTGGTCAATAGATATGCATTGTGCTCCTTTTAAATAACTTTTTTCCTTAAATAAGGTATTGCATTGCTTTCCCTACCAAGCAGCAGAAAATATTAATGTTGTGAACTTCTAATTATATTGACTGAACATTAAACCGTGATAAATTAAAGTATAAACACATTCAAAAGAACATGCACACAATTTATGATGTTCATTAAAGTCTCAAGGCTTACATATCACTGATTAATGCACGTTTGAGATGATTTACTGCAGATAAACCTGTGAGAAACTCAAGTTGTGTACATAGTTTTATTAAAGTTCATGAATAGAATTTGAACAGAGATACTATTGAAATATTGTACAATTATCAGGAGCTGAGTGACAGTAAATGTAAGAACTTTGACCCTTAAACACAATCCTTAGAAAGCAAAAGGGAGTGAATGATGAGACGAATAGAACAAAATAATCCAGAAAGCAAATAAACAGCAAGTCAAACAAATACAAACAGACGTGCATTTATACTTCAATGAAACCTCCATACAGATACAGGTAATGTAATCCAGCGATATATTTATACAAATATGAACATACACATTTTATTGATATTTCTAAGTGCTCTGACAGGCATCACAAACTACAAATGAGTTTGCGGTCACACGGATCTCAGTGACGCCTGTTAGTTTAAATACTTTGAGGAAGCATCTACATGCTGCATTTGGTTTGCGCTTCGATCACGTCTCAGTTACTCGACAGCTAAATCAGAAACTAATGAGAGCGGGAAGTGAAATCCGTCTTACTAGGATCCTGACGTGGAATGATGCAGAGCAACTGAAGACAAACCACTATTAAATATAGAAAAATACTCCTACAACCAAAAGAAACAAAAGTATGCTGCCCTCGTGAGTCTGAAAGCCAAAGATCAGTGTTCTCGTTAACATGAGTTTATCTATTTAAAGTCCAAGTGCAGAAAACATCAGTCGTAACCCGCCACTGAACGTGGGGTAAGGGTTAAAACGTCACAGAGCACCAAACGCGAATGCGCTAGCATGAGTTTATAAGGTGTAAGAAAGAAAAAAGTAAAGCACAGGTGCATTTCTGACTCGGACAATCAGTTAAAGCAGAGTAACCCCGCTGTCTAACAGGCTGTCAATCATCATCTCCTCCCCCAATCATTGGTCTCTAGGCAAGCAAAGCCCCGCCTCTGAAGGGCTGTCGTGTCTTATTGCTGCTCCCAGACTCCGCCCACAATACACCCTTCACATGGTTTGTTAAGGGGGACATACATGGAGGACAACAGCGAGACACAAAAGCCTTTTAAGAGCAGGGCGGATCACGATGTTACGCCTTCAGATGACCTGAGATTAATTAAAGAGACTCGAGTGTGTTTAGGCCAAGAGGAGAGGGATGCATCACTAGAATAAACTAGTTTAAACTAGTCTTGACAGCCTGTTAAACGAGCAGGGTTTAACCTCAGCAGCCGGACTGAGTGATGTCTCCGCCGGAGCTCTTGGTGACCTCCATGGTGGTGAATATCTGGAAACAAATGAAGGGAAGAGCATGTTACAACTCAAAAGAATAAGAACATGACATGTCAGTAACCTATAATGAAGCAGTAGGGTCACAGGAACGCACCTCAGCACATGTCGGGTGAATCCCGATGGTGTTATCAAGCTGGTCTTTGGTAATTCCACATTTCATGGCGGCTCCGAAGCCCTGAGTGACCTCTCCGGCATTAGGACCCAGATAGTGGAAGCCAATCACACGTTCCTGCACACAGACGACAGACAGACAGCAGTTAATACTCCTGAAGTGTCTCACACAGTAATGATAGCATGGAATCAAATGCAAATCATTCACAAGACACAATACTTAAAGGAAATCAGTCACTGCCTCTTAGAAATGAGCCTGTAATATGAACATGTATATAATTTAAAGCCAATAGAAAGGCAACATCTTTACTGCATTTGCTAAATATGCATCGTGTAAGCCAACAGAAAAACAACACCACCGGGGTAAATACCAAATTTCTTGGGGGGTAAAAAACAAGTTTAAGAAAGAAGGAAGATTAATAGTTTTGAATATTACTCGTTTACAGATCCATCAATATTAATTGACTGACAAATCTAAAAGTAAAAAATAAAAAGTAACACTACAACAAAATTTGTGAAGTTTTAACAGAATGCGTGAATCTGTCAAGGTTGTTATAAAAATGCAATTGTTCATTGTTTAGTGTAAAGATGCAACTTTTGATTCTTTTAAAATGCATTAGTAAAATGTTGAATTTAAGATCAACAAATGGTATCAAAGCCAGTGTTATTTTTTTGATAATTACAGCATTCATTTTCTGTTTTTATTTTTATTTCTATTTCTCCATTTTAAGTTTCAATAATGCTGTGTTCATTTTTATTAGGCTTTTTCATATTTCTATTTAGATTTTCTAAATTCAAGTAATTTCAGTACATCAACCTAATTACATGTTTTCAACCATTTATTTAGATTACTGAAACAATAATAGCTTTAGTTAACAATAACACTTGTAGAAGCACAGTTCATTGTTAGTTCAACTAATGTTAATGAATTAAACCTTATTGTAAAATGACTAAAATCCAGTTAAGTCACTAATTATGACTTAGAATCATAATGTTTCACAAACCAAACCACGTTCACATAGGATGAGGACAGTTATGCATGTCTTACATTGTCAAGATTATTGCAGATGATCTTGGCGTAGCACCTGTTGTTGTCTCGACCGGGAACGGTGAACTCCAGAGGCCAGAACAGACTGTGATAGATCTGCAGAGACCAACACAATCACATCATT